CTCGGGATGCTCAACGAGCTCCGCCCGATGTGGTACTACGTCCTGGCTGCGGTCCTCTTCGTCCTCAGCCAGCTGGACTACTTCTTGCTGAGCAAGGTCATTTGCAGGGTGCGTCGTCCGTCTGTCCGCGCTTTCACTCCTATGCTAACGCTGTTACACGTCTTCTTTCCTGCTCTCTCCTCCATGCGCCCGGTGTATTCTTCTATGATCTGACTCTCGCTCGCCTCGCGCACTTCGCACACTTGCCTGTCCTCGCGATCTCCTGTGCGTAGGCGGCAGCTACGGGCGCGGTAAGCAAGGTGGATGGCTCGTTCATTGCGACGATACTCGAGACGGCCGCTGTTGGCGTGCTGTACCTCGCATGGCGCAGTATCACGGAAGGTGCGTCTCCTGGCTCTGTTCTGTCCACATCCCCGCCGCTGGCTTCCCACTCGTCATTGCACCACGTCTCCTATCTCATCACTCTCCCTACTCCTCGTCGACCGTCGACTCCGCCGCGTCTCCTTCGCTCGCGTCACCCCAACCTCCCGCGCACCTTTGCTCTGCTCTCCTCCGTCGTGACCGTGTCGTTCGACATTGACTAACATACCTCCGTTTCCGCCAACAGAATCGTGGGAGGACGAGGTGTACTACCCTCGGTGACACGCCGCGCCGTAACGCGCGAGCCTCGGACGCCGCCCCTATCCCGGGGTAGGGTGTCGCGTCCGCGCTGCTGCTCCTCACGCCGTGTCACGTCTCCTTCACGTCTTCCCGTTTCTCCCTGCGCAACACGTCGCTGTTCGCTGTTTAACTAGACACCTGCCAGCCCAGCCCCGTCCCGCCCGCCCCGTTGCGTTTTGCGTACGCACCGTGCTTTTTCCGCGCTCGGATGCTCGGACACGGTGCACGGTATGAGACGGCTGCCGTTGGCGTGTCCGAGCATCCGCGGTGGTCGGGTGCGGCATGGGCTGCCGGGGAGGCTATCAGCGGAGTGCGAACGAGATGCACCAGATGCAAGCTCTACCTTAGGGTGTTCTGGGGAAGGTATAGGCGGTACGAGGGGAGTACGACGAGTGGAGGGGAGTACGGCGAATGGAGGGAGGAGGGAGGAGGAGGTGGGGAGTGTGGTGCTCTGGGTGATTGAAGGTGAGTACAGTCGTCTTCCGGGGCTGTTTTGTCGTGTCGCTCGTATGTCAGATGTGTAGATAGGCAATAATATATTTGGTTTGCTCTATATTCTGTGCGGCAGCCGTTTCTCGAGGTCGCAAGAGAGATGCAAATGAAGTAGCGGCTTGAAGTCGCCACAGACGATCAGATCACTGCGATTACAATGATATTCTACGGTACAGACAAAATACGGCATGCTACAGAACTCCCTCGGAGGTGGAAACGCGTTCCGCTCGACTTGAATGCGTCCGCAAGTATGGGCGCTCACCTGCCGACTTCGCGCGTGCACCAAGTGCGCGACTCTGTTTGCGACCACCACCGTGTCTGCCTCAGTCTGCCCCGCTCTGCGTGTAATGCTCCAGCCCTTGCTCTCTGCGCTCTCTTGGGCTCTGGGATATACTCGCCGTACTCACCTCTCGAGCCTCTCACCCGCTGCGGCCCGCCGCTGGTCTCGACTTCCTCTCGGACTCGGATCGCAGTGCTGACGGCTCACAGTCCGGATGCCTTCAATACCGTCGTCAGGTGAGTGATAGAATGCTGGATTTGCACAGACAGGTACGTACCAGTTGCAGTCTATCCGGGGTAGGGAGTCAAATGCGGAGGGGCAAAGACTCGAGCGACCAGGAACTCACCCGCTCCGCCGCTGGTCTCGACTTCCTCTCGGACTCGGATCACAATGACTCTCCAGACGCCTTCAACAATACCGTCATCAGATGAGTGCTAGGACGCTGGAGTTACACGAACAGGTACATACCGGTTGCAGTCCGTCCAGGGCAGAGAGTCGAATGCGGAGCAGCGAAGACTCGAGCGACCTGTGGCATGAGAGCTGACGACATCGTCAGTGTACGACAGTACTATGGAGTTACCCAAGGGACCCTTGCCGTCCCTCTCAGATGTCGCCTCCTCCTCCTCCTGCTGCGTGTCGTGCAGAAATAATGATATACAGCGCCACGATCCGGACGTGCTCGTCATGGAACTCCTTCAGTGCCGTGACAGCGACGTTGTACGCGTCCCGCAAACTCGACATTGTCCTCCTGCTGCTCGACGATCTGCCGGAGCGAGCGCGGGTTCGCCTGCAGGTGGTGGAGGAACGCACCGTGGTGCCGCGGCGTGTACGACTACATGCGCGTCAGGAACGGCACCTTCGGCTTCAGCGGGGCGGAGCTCAGGTTCGACGTCGTGGGCAGGATAGATGTGGATGACAATGACGCCGCAGGTGCGTCGGTCGTGGTGGCTGATGAGGATGGGCCGCCAGTGCCATGCGAGTGAAAGTTGAAGCGGGAGCACTTGTCAACGCCGAGAAAGATGTCGAGTGCGTGGATGAGGAACCCAAGAGTTCGATGGGCTCCTGAAGGGTCGGGTTGAGCTCAATCCCGTCGAAGATCCACTTGCGCCTGGTGGTGTCAGAGTCTGCGCCCTCGAACCATGGACGGATCTCGTTGTCGAAGATCGTGGGGTCGCAGCGGTCTCGAACGCTGGCGAGCAACTGCTTCAGATCGTTGATGACGCCTGCGAGGATGTGGAGGTAGTTCGTGATACGCCGGTGGGCAATCTGGTCTCCGACGAAGGCTTCGTCCATGATCACCCGCATGACGGATAGTGCTTCAACGCCCCGAAGCCCGATACGCGCAGAGGAGAGGTAGAGCTCCTCATCATGAGTGCCCGTGGAGAGCGCGAGGCAGCGAAGGTTGTGAAGCTCGGCCTTCGATGCGAGACACCGGCGTGGTCTTGAACGTCCGAGGGTGAAGACCTCCGTGCGCCAACGTGCCTGTTGTTTGCGCTAGTCACCTGTCTAGGGCACACTCGAGTGCGAGCGAGGACGAGAGGGACTCGCGTCGTCCGCGAGTCGTGTACGAGATGTGGTGAGGTCGTCAGCACAGTGTGTGCAGGTATCCGATAGAAGAAGGTACGTACCGGTTTTGCTCGAGGCTGGAGACCCTCGCACAGGCTCGTAGTCCCGCTCTGTCGGCTCGATGGACGTCCCCTAGAAGCTAGTACAAGACGTCGTCAGTACTCGCCCTTTGGCTGGGATGCAAAGGAAGGGACATACCATACATGTCTAGAGCTACAGACCAAGCAGTGTCTGTGGTGTGTGCTTCGTCGTCAGTACCGTCCTCAAGAAACCTTTGAGTACTGACCTCTGTTCTGTTCTCGACTACAGGCGACATTGAGGTTGAGCTCGACAAAGCCGAGAGACAAGGGCGGGGACTCAGGGTTGCTCGGGATGATGACGACGGCCGTCCGGGGAGTGCAAAGGGGACCCGAGTGAGTGGTTGTACAGGTCGCCCGGACTCATGTTTCAGTCACCCGAGGAGCAAAGGCCTTGTCCGGGAGCTACGAGATGTCGTCAGGATTCAGCAAGCACCGATGTAGTGCCGCGGAACATACGTACCGGTTGCCTTCGGAGAGGCGGACGACACTACAGTGCGGGTGCTCTCTCGTGCCCATCATCCAGGGCAAGTCGCAGCCCGTCTCCGTCACTCGTGAGCCCCAGTCGCCAAAAGCTTGATGGCTGGTGTTCCACCGGACGGGTTGCAAACCGGATCCCTAGAGGACGGTAAGTGAACTGTTTTGTCGTCTTGCCAGCCAAGATGCGGACAGGTATGTACCAGTTTTGTCCATTGCGCTGACGTTCAGTTGACCACGTTGGCCGCACGGTGAGCAACATGGCTGTTGGTCGCGAGCGTGCTTGGTCTTCAGCTTGCAGGGTCAAGGCAACAGCGGCGTCCAAGACCACGTCTACACGTAGTCACAGTCAGTCAATGGTGCGTAGATGTTCGAAGGAAAGGTACATACCCAATGTGTCGTTCAGGCTGAACCCCATGCTCCGCCTGAACCCAGACAAGCGTGTCAAGGCGTCCGAGCTCATCCAACAGGCGTGACTCGACTGGATCACCGTGCAGGGCGAGATCGACATCGTCCGACGCGCAGAGAAAGAAGCGCAGCGGAAATGACAAGTGCAGGAGGCGTCCGCGTCCAAGTCTGGATGCAGACACAGAGTCAGACATCGATGCGATGAAGCCCGTGGACGACGTTGTCGTAGGCTTTGAGGATGTGCACGAGACATAGTCAGTACCAGCTGAGAAGTGAGCACAGTGAGGCGGGGGAAGTAGACAGGGGAAGTAGACGGGGGAAGGAACAAGGAGCAAGGAGAGGTGGGGCTGTTAGCGGTAAGGGCAAACAGCAAACAAGGCTGACGCGCTTGCATGGTGTACCAGTTCGGATGCATGCTCGCGGCTCGGCTAGTATTTTGGATCTGGCATGACCGTGTCGCAACCTACTCTGAACAGGAACCTGAACCTGATGCTGTCAGTGACGTCCGATTACAGCTCAAGAGAACCGATACTTACCTTCATTCAGCGGGCGACGTGGCAGGTCGGAGGGCAGTGATCGGTACATGAGACAGTAGCCAGTCATGTTCCCGAGCGGGCAACATCTGGCAGTTCAATGTGTGAGGAGGATAGCGAATAGCTGACTCGAGGACCACTCGTACATGTCCTTGAAGGCCGCTCGTATAGCCAGGTCTTCCTCGTTTCCGTAATGAGTAACAATCTTGCCCACCAATCATAGGTAACTTGAGAACCCAGTCGCCTCGAACGAGACACCCAATCTGGTCAGCACTGACGGGATGATTGGTAGTGTCGCCAAGCCAAAGAAGCCGAGTCCGAGGCGGAGAACGCGGGTGGTCCGCTCACAGACATGGTAATCGATCCCGTACTTCACGAGGAATGGATCACATACAGCCCACGCCTCTTGATATGTGTTCTGGCAAGTTGTAGGAAGCTGTTCACCGAACGACTAGATGACACCCAACATGACCTGCAGGTATGGGCACGCACGGGTTCTGGCAAAGGCGGCGGAGCTGAGCGGTTCTGTTCCTGTACACGGGGTCAACATCGGAGCAGTGTTGCTCAGCTCTGTACCATCTGG